TATCTGGTATCCCAAAACCAGCAGCATTCCCACTGCTTTCTCTTACCTTTTTAAAAATAAGAATATCCCCACCCCCAGATACAATCTCGTAACCTTGGCCTTCCAAACGCGGGAAATGTTCTAGGAACCGTGAGGGGTTGTTGAGACGCGAAAGCGCCTCTGTCGGATGCAGTTGTTGCGTGATATCGCCCGAGCCTGAGTGGCCGGATGAAATGCCAATGTCTTTGACTTCCATTGTTAGTGAGTCGTAGGCCAGAACTCTGTATTGAGAAGGGGAGGAAATTTTCCCCTTTGTTTGAGGTAATTCCCTTGTTGGCTTTTTGTTGGCTCGATCACTAATGCACCGCATTCCCTGCATGTTCTCACCCAGTTCTCTCAGAACGGAGTTGATGGAGGTGTTAATGTTTTTAACCTCGGTCAGAGTTTCTCCAATGGTAGCTAACTGCTTCAGACATTCTTCCATACTGGTTTTCATCTCCTCTGATGGGACGGGGACGTCTCCATTGTCGCCTTGGGACATTGAACTTGTCGCTATTTCGTACTGAGCACGCTTTTCTGTCAAAAATGCGCTCATCGAGTTGGTTTTCTCTTTGACTTTTCGCAATTCCTTCGCAATATTTCCTATTTGACTATGAAGCTTAGCTTTGCTGCTACTTACCCCAAAGACGGGATGGATCTTGTCGTTTTCGGAACTGCTGGCAGTCACAGTTATATCCGCACGATCGCCTATGTCATGGTTATAGATGATTTTTCCATTCTTTTCCCCTCGGCCATCATCGTTATTAAGTTGTGAGTTGACTCCCTTTGGTATCCGATCTATTGCTGGCATCAATATAGCAGCAGTATCCGTTGAATTTGCAATATTGGCAGACTTGTTATTCTCTGGACGAAGTTTCCAACGCAACTCGTCGACGTCCAAGCCACAACCTGCGTCCTGAAGGGTTTGAGAGGCTGTTGCAGCTTCATATTGGCTCCCCTCCCGAGGTTCGAAAGAGGCATGAATGTCGCTGGCGCGTAGTTGATCCAAACCTGCCTCAGGTTGGCTAGCGTTTCTAAAATTGAAGGAGTTTCTGTAAATTTCACAAACAGGTGACTCACTGGAGGGCTTGTCATTTCGCATATTACCAGAAGAAGGATTCTGCCCAGTCTTCTTCTCTGATTCTCTCGTGTTATGTTGAGCTTCATCTTTAGGAAGCGCCTTCATCAATTTGGCAAGACTCTCACGGTATAGTTGATAGTTGGCTGCAGAGTGTTCTACAGGAGTCTTATCGGTTTGGGAATTGTCCACAGACGAAAGGCCATTCTCTTCAGTCGTAGCTGCATCCTCTTTCTCAGGTCTGAGCGTAGCTATATTATTGCAGACTACCTGGTCAGGTTTACCCACAGACCATACATCTAACGTGTCAGGGCCATTAGATTCAATGGTTCGCCCTTTCGAATCAAGGTTTTGGGCTGACTCGGAATTGATCGTTTCGTTGTCAGTTCCCAATTCTGCCTCGCCATCTCGCGGGTTTGCATATATTACAGTGGAGGAATCGTTCGCCTGATGGTCACTTGTTTTGGACTGGCGAGTGGCCATCTTCCCACTGATGGGATCAAATTCAAATGCAGCATCGGTCAAAGTGCTGGTTGATGGCGAAGGACCCTTATCGACAGTCACTTTACGAGGAGTCGTCTCCGAATTTGCTGTTTCATCGATCGTTGGCTTCCTAGAGACCTCAAAAGAACTTGAGGAGGGATTGCGACCCCGATGATTACCATTATCAGTAAAGGACCTACAAAAAGATAACCAGGACCCTTCTTTCAGACCAAACGGAAAATGTTCCAATCTTCTCCCCAATATCGCCCCATAAGTATCACTATCAATAGCCCTCTTAAATTCCCGAAACTGCTGCTTAGAATCACGACGCATGAACTCCCCATATTCGCGCTCTTTACCGTCCCAGGACTCGAAGTCTTCTTCCTCTCCAGCGCTTCCATCCTCTTCAAACCACTTTTTAGACCATTGCTCGTTCGCCACCCTGGGATGCTCGGGTTCAGCTGCCCCTCTCACTGTCGCTTTGCTAATCTCCTCATAGACCTCACGTCGATTCTGAAAGCGACTAGTCAAGTCGGGACCTCGACATTTGTTGATTCTCCTGCTTTGATAGAGATACGGCCGTCGACGCATAGCATGCGTCAGGTATCTGTTGTAAAACGATCGTATTTCTTTTTCCTTTTCCATCAGTCGCTGCAATCTAGAGTATGCCTGCGACCTCCATTCTGGATCACGATGGAGACCCCACCAGAATAGCGACCTTTGCTGGAAGGTTGAGAGAAGGGTGGGAGAGCGGAAGGTGATAAATGCTGAACAAATGGATGTTGAACGAATTGATATTGCGGCATGCTGGGGAATGAGGCGGCTCGATAGAAAAGCTGAAGACTCCATATTTGATTTGATTACAATTCCGGTAGATCCCTGGTGGTTGTTTGAAGAGCCAATTCTCAATAAGCTAGATTGTCCTCTGATCGACACCTCCCAAATGTCCCGTTGAAAACACAGATTGTTTTGACACAGATCAAACTCTAAATGGAATGTTCCTAAATCTGGTAGTGTAGCTATCTGTTTTAAACCTGGGGACAGCTAATTCCGATTAGAAGCACATGGAATCCATGAAGCTGCTGCGGATAAAAGAATGAGCTTTTATTAAACAGTTTTTACATGGGGGAGGGGTAGGTAGTAGTTGTCACCTTATTGTTAGACGGTAGAACCGAGCATTATCTTAGCTGTCATCAACCATAAACGTAGATATCGGAACTTAGGATTTGAGAGCTGTATACTTACATATCAGAATATAGATGTGTCTGTATATGGAGTGTACAGTAGGTTGGAGGCTGTTTAAGTTGTTCTTTGTCAAATGCATGGCTGAATTGGGTGGAAGCTTTCCCCGCTGACATCATCGCTTTTGCGCTTATCTAATCGCCGTATCACGTCGAACAAAAACGTCAATCCATCGCAATCTCAACTCTGCGCCCTGACATGGTGAAGCTGCGGGATAATATCGCTATCAATTACACAGGCCGTATTCGACAAATGATGGCCCTAAAAATTAATGGAACAGTTGCTGTCAACAACCTTTTTACCAGATCACTTGCATGCCTTCACCCAACTTCTCAGCGAAGTTCTCTCGATGAATCAATCTTACTAGGAATATATTTACTGAGATTATCGATGGCAACCCAGTTCCCCAGTTCAATGCGGATATTTGAACGGGTCGTTGCAAAGTTCAAGAGTTTGTCACATATCCGGGCCAAGCTCTTTAAGGGGGCTTCAAGGCAGATGCGCTTGCGATAGATTCAAAAGTTGATAATGTTTCGTTTGCTCTTATGTAACTCTTGCATTTGCTAACGTAACTAATATATCTCTTAGCTTGCCCAATATTATCAAAACGCAATTATTGACCGACAGGGCTCGAGCTCCGTTTGTTGGAGATGACAGCTACCGCTTCCACAACTTAATGACCTTTCTATTCAACCAAGCTCATCACGAGTTGTGCACAAGTCGTAATCAGGCGTCACAGCAAGGCTCAATCAACATTACTCCCAAATTCCCAACACCTTTAAAGCATCTCGACTACAGACATTACGATCAGTATCCATCTGGTGTTGCTGATGTAGTTGGTCACTGGGCCGAACTATAGTGTTTGTGGGAGTGGTCTTGTTTGATCGAGATGAATCTGAATGTGAGGTGCGTTTTATTTCCGCCCCACAAGGTGTTTTATCGGGAGGCTTGTTATTGGAGTCGTCACTTACTGAATGTATATATATCTATAGGCTCTTGATGCATACATTCGTCCCAGATTCATATTCAAGATCTTCAATCTCTCAGATCCTCAGCTCAATGTATTTGTTGAACAGAATGCTTATGACCAGTCACCTATGACATTACCTCTTCCCTTTATCACCGAAAGGTAGGCGCTGAAGGTGTGGCTGGACCAGTCGATGTCACATCATCTTTTTTGCAACGGATATGAGAGGAAGCCGATAGATGAGAAACTTTTAGTAAGGGAATATCATTGGCCGCAGAGGCTAGAGGATGAACCTTATATTTAAGATATTATGGAGAAAATGAGTGAAAAGAGGAAAGAGAGGGAGAGCGAAAAATGACGAGGGGTGAGAACCACTAGAAGGCATGTTCAACGCCATCGTTTTCATTTGCAGTTAAACCTTGGGTCAATGACTCTTACTGCTCAACAAAGACCCTGAGAGTAGTCAATCACAAGAAGTGAAAACTTACAGCATCACAATACCATAGTGTATGTATCTGCTAGGAAGCTAATCCATCCTGTGTTAAGTCGTGATGAAATCTTTCCGGAGACAGGAGTTACGAGCCCCATTCAGTAGTTCCACAGGTAGTGGTTTGACAAGATATCATGTTGGGATAGTAGAATTAGTGGGGGTAATAACGATAACACTCAGCAACGAAAATATATATGCAATTAAATTTAAATTCTTCCGTCAACAAATAATCGACATATCTCATATGGAGCCGCCTGTTACCAACGGCCTATGAGCTAGGGCTATGGAAAACGTTAAAGTTTGAGTTGCGTTGTCACACGGGGATAAAAAAAAAATACACCCATCCATCGAGAGAGTATATGAGTGAGTAGAGTTTGAAAAGAGGAAGGGAGGTGGTTAATCGTTAAATGGAAGCTGACGGGTAGAAAGAGATATAGATATTGTAGTTCAGCAATATTTTTTGGCTGTAATGAAGTTTGTGAAGGAGACGGTGTTCTTCATTTGAGCATGACACCTCCAGCAAAGTAAAGCCAGTCTGTCCATGACAGAAGTCAACTAAAGTATCATTCCCATTTTCAATGCTATGCAAACTTGTCTGAGAAGAAAATCAAATAAATATAATGATGCATCATTTCCTTTCCCAATTCACTTTATCCAAAATCCCCATCCCCATCCCATCCCCACCCCAATCCAATTTCCATTCATTCACCCACTCGCATAAATCAAACAGCGAGGAGAGAAAGGCCCATTTCGAAACCCATCCCTTCGAAAGTATCTGGATCGACGATATAATTCCTCCAAAATCGCAAGCCTTCAATCCCTTCCTCGCGACAGAGAACCCCCCTATCCTCTGCCATCTCCAGTTCCTCCGCAGCGACGCCGACACTCCACCCGAACCGCTCCGCTGCCTCTTGAGCCGTAACGCCCCTACCATACATATGCCAATCCCAAAAAACAACTTCATCAGACAGTGGTGTGGATCGCAACTCTTCAAACCACTCTTTCAACTGTCTAATGGTCTTTTCATCCGTCCAATCGAAACGTTGCACGACAAGCAGCCCGCTTTTGAACCGGCGGAGACGAACGGGAAGTTTCAGTTTCTCCCATAGCTCAGCCGCCTTTTGGAAATCTGCCGGGCTTACCAGTTCGACACCGTTGCGACTACGATTGAACACAGCCCAAAGGTCGATTAGGCTCATGATCCCACCCTCCCGGTGAAGGATACCGTTACGATCATCAGTGAGGTATTCTGCCAGATTGCGAGAGAGCTCCGATAGGTACAAGTTCTCGGAACCACCGCCGGATCCAAGCATATCCTTAGTAGTGGTCATGCCCAGCGCTGCTGCAGATTGAGAAAGAACCCTACTGGCTTCAGCAGAACTTCCATTGGACATCATTCCCGATTCCGCGGCGAAGGTTTCGGCAAGCGCAACGATTTCCTTGGCCGATGCCATCAGTGCCTCGAGATCTTCAAACGCACTGCCAAGAACCACTTGGTTGTTCTGCCTTGCTTCAAATCCCCGGCGTTCAAGTCCGGCAATACCAACCGCAGAGTGTGATGGACGCTGGCCCAGTGAATTGGAGTCGCCGCCTGGTGTGGAAGAAGCGGAAGAAGGGTTAGCTTTCGGGACGGGTGGGGCATCATGAAGAAGCCATTTTC